CAATCAATCCCATTAAATATATGCCATCATATATTTAACTAAACAGATGAGGAAACAAAAGGCCGGAGTATATAGGTCACCTGCCCATGTTCACACAGTGAGTTAACCTGTCATGAGTAGCAGGCACAGAGGTCTGTGCTTTATGGCCTCTCTCTCTCATCGTCACAACCGTAATAATTGTGATAGTTACCTCTGCTTTTCTGTGGCAATGAGAAAGCCACCTCTTTTCTTGATATCCAGCCTTCTTGGCAAAAAGGCTTCAGCTTCCTCACGTGCGTGTGTGTTCCTTGCCTTGCAGGGCAGGTACACCTTCTCAGATGGGCTGCAGTATGACGCGGAGAACTGGCACTACTGCGACAGCTATGATCGGAGGTTTTACACGGAGATCTGCCATGGCTTGAAGCCCGCAGGTACCCAGGCACCCGCCCTTTCCTTCACCACCAAACTGAGAGGGAAACTAAAGACAGTTTGAATAAGTGGGCTGTGGCCTACTGAAGTCACTCGGAGGAGACGAGGAAATAAGTGGGCACAGCAGAACATGAAAGACCCAGGTCTCAGGGCCAGGAAGGCCAGTCACCACATCTCAGCTCCACTGTCCTAGCAGAGGACCACGGGCAAGGGACTTCACCCCTCTGTGCCTCAGTTTCTCCCCTTCACAGTCAAACACTAGCACTTCCCTCATGAGATGGTTGTAACTAAGACTCATGTAAAGTGTTTAGAACAGCAACTTGCACGCACATAGGCGCGTAGGACCCGTCAGCTGTTCTTATTTGTAGCACCTACTATAACACTAAAATTATGAAGATGTTAATATTTGCAAAAGAAGGAGATGGAGCAGAAGCAGCACTGGCATGCTCTCTGCGTATCAGGTGCCAGGTGAGGCTCTCTGTGATCCCTGTCTCCTTGATTGTCCGATGATACTAGAATTTCTTCCTCAGTAGGTCCTTGGGCTTGGGGATTCAAAGAATGAACCCATGGACCACAGATCAGTGGTAAGATAGGATTCTATTAGACAGAAAGGAATACAGAAGCAGCAAAAAAGCACCAGAGCTTCTGGAAGGGGGAAAGAACTAACTGGGGAGTCTCTACCTGGGCTGAGAATTACAGCTGGCCGGGACTCCATAGGTGGAAAAACCTCTTTTCAAAGTCAATGAGTGCATTAACAAATGAATGAATATAGTTTCTCCTCCACTAGGGCAAGGTTATCTGGTCCTTACAGTCTTTGTCTCCCGAGAAGGGATTAGGGTGTATGCTCTCTACTCAAGGTGGAACCACCATCCAAAAAACTATCTCAGGCGGCTTTGTTCATGATCTTGTTAGAGCCCAGAGGGTACGTCCTGAAAAAGGCGGTCTGTTTGTGCCTGGAAATGGGAGTCTGATTTCTGAGCTCACCTGGGCCTAGAGAATAGGGGGATCCCTGTCCAGCCCTGAATGGTATCACCAATGACCCTGCCCAGTCAGCGGTCAGCCCTCCTAGTATGTGTCATAAAGGAGAAAGTTGAGACCCTGGAATCCAGATGTGTTTCCCAGGGACAGAGCTCACACTGGAGCTTCAGTCTTCCTCTCTGAAGTCCCCTGTGTTATGCTACCTCCCTGCAAAACCTGTGTTTTGTCACAGAGGGCTACGTTGGGGCCAATTCACCTTTTTTTTTTTTTTTTGTAGAGACAGAGTCTCACTTTATCACCCTGGGTAGAGTGCCGTGGCATCACACAGCTCACAGCAACCTCCAACTCCTGGGCTTAGGTGATTCTCTTGCCTCAGCCTCCCAAGTAGCTGGGACTACAGGCGCCTGCCAAAATGCCCCGCTATTTTTTTTGTTGTTGCAGTTTGGCTGGGGGCCCGGGTTGAACCCTCCACCCTCGGTATATGGGGCTGGCACCTTACCCACCAAGCCATAGGCACCGCCCCAGGCCAATTCACCAAGCCTTTAATTACCATCAACATTCGAATTGAAATCGGAATTGAAATTGAAATTGGCTCAGATTCCTGCATCCAGCCTCCCTGATACCTGTCTGGGTTGTCCCCAAACTTATTTGCACTGAATCCACCCTCTTCCCTGCAACACACTCTCCCTCAGTGATGGCTCCCTCGGTAAACATCATGCCCATCCACCTAGGGAAGCCTAATCTTCCCTTCCTCTGTCCCCTAGAAGCAATTGGTCACTTAGCCCCAGTGATTTTACCTCCTAAATATGTGCTTTCATTTGCCATTCAACAAATGTCTACTGAGCACCTCCATGTGCTAGGCAGTTTCCTGCATCCTCTCTGCCACCGCCCTATTCAGACCTCCATCATCTCTCTAGAGAGCGCCACTTGACCCCTTTGAGGTCATTCCCCATTCGGCCACCCCACAGCCTTAAGCACTTCCTTCTAGCCTCAGACAAGGTTCCAGTATCTCAAAATGACCAACATTCTCTGGCTCCTGCTTATGTCCCCAGCCTCACTCAGTGCCACCCACCCTTCTTTGCCCTCTTCTCTCTGGCCGTGCTCACTTTCTCTTTATTTCTCAAAGAGACCACACTTTTTCCTACCATTCCTTCTGCCTGGAATACACTCTCTTCACCCAGATAACTCCCTCCCATCCTTCAGGACTCTGTTTACCTGAACTCCCAGACCAGGTGAGGTCTCCCAGGGGCATGTCACAGAGCTACCATGACCCCTCTGAAGATCAAATCCTGAGTGTTCATCATCCATCTTACTGAGCCAGCTGTGACCAGCACAAGGGCAAGACTCTAGTACATTGTCTGGCATATAGTGGGCACTCAATAAAGAGTTAGTGTCAAGCAGGGATAATAATACTGACACCACAGCCAGAGGTGAGGGGTACAGTTAGGGGAGTAAATTTGATGATATTGATAAACATTTCCTGAGCATCTCCCCTATGTCAGACGCTGGCTGGCTCCAGAGGACACAGAGCTGAGAGAACACTGTTTCTTCCTTCAAAGAGCTTCTGATCTAGATGCAGCTTAAGCAACTTCCAAATCACTCCTCCTGGGTTAGATGCAGCCTGGACTTTGTCACGGGCTCTTCACCCCAACTGAAGCCTATGGGAAAAAAGCTGTCAGCCTCAAGCCTCAGCCCTCACATGGCAGCTGCTTTTGCCAGCCATGAAGGCAGTGTGATGACGTTCCCTGCACCTGCCTCCCCTCCCCTTCTCCAGCAGAACAGCTTTACCTTCAGTAGCCACTCTCTTCCCTTATTACTCTGCATTTCGCCTCAGGAGCAGGCATTGTTGGGGTGACAGTTGAGGGTGCCCCATGACCTCTCTGGGCATTGGCATGAGGCTTCAGTGAAAGAATGGCTGTAAAATACTTGGCATGGAATGAGTGCTCAGTAATCATCAGCCAGTATACATGGGATTAGGATTAGGGTCAGGGTCAAGGTTAGGGTTGAGTATGTTGTTAACTAATACAGGAGCACCTGCTGTGTGCAGGACACTAAATTGTGAACATAGTGCTGGTATTATGTTCAGTGGGTACTAGCTCTCGGTCCAGAGAATGGGGAACCTCAAACATTATTTATTCGAACCTCTCCTTTACTCAGGCCACAGCATTCCAAGATATATACACACTGGGTGCATGACCTAAAAGGTAGCTCCTCTTTCCCTCCTGGGGGTCCCAGTGTCCCCAGTCCTGGGGCCATGCCTAAGCCCTTTCCTCCCCTGATGTTGACAGCTGATCACACAGGTTACAGAGCTGGGCTGCTTCCTAGGTGGATAATCTTGGGGATGTTACTTTACCTCTCTGAATCTCAGTTTACTTACGTGTAAAATGGAGCCACAGGGCCACTCTCAGGATTAAATGAAATAGTAGGGACATAATGCCTGGCACATAATAAACATTTGATAAATGCCACCACTATGGTAATTTTGGTGAGAGTCAAGGTTCTCCACTACCCACCTCTGGCCACCTAATGTTTCTTTCCCACTGTTCCTTTGCATGCACTCTGCTCCGCAAGTTTTCCTCAGGGAGCCTAAGGGTTCAGTACCTCTGGCCTTGGCCCACACTTTGAAGGTCATCCTTCTCCTGGGGCTGCCCTTCTATTCAGCTGGCCAACTCTGACTCCAGAACCTGTACCCATTGTCATGGTGTCCCAAGAAATGATGGAGGATAAGAAGACAGTGGTTACAGAGCCATTTTCAGAAAGCTCTTTGGAGCACTGTTCCTGCTGTTTTTGCTCCTTACCCTGAATCAGAAGTGCTTAGTCCAACACTAGAACCAGGTAGTCACATGAGAACTTAGCCAAAGGTAGACTTTATGGGAACATTGCATTGGGATTTGGCCTTGATGGTGAACTAATCAACCATTGTGCCCCTTCAAGGTATCTCTCAACTCACCAATATGGACCCACCTAGAATAATCCCCAAGGGCTGCTATGACTGTGGAGACGGCTTCTACAACCCAGCCACCAGGGTCATCAAGGACTACGGGAACCGCTTTCTGAGGAATGCAGGTATGTGCATGCCAGCACTCGGCAGCACCTTTGCTTCTCATCCTCATGTAAGTGTGTGCATGTGTGTCCATTTGGTAAGAAAGGTTTCACTGATAAAAGATAAAAAAGTGATTGTCTGGATGTTTCACTCATTGAACTTCTTATGGCCAACAAGTCTGAACGTAGTCAGAGAGCGAGGCAAAGGCCCTTCCTGGTCTAACTGCGACAGCACAGAAGTGTGGCCCTGAAAAGACTACTTATTTTTGCATGTATCACTTTAGCTAGTATTGAATGGACACCTACTATATCCTAGAGCCTATGCCTGGTGCTGGGGTAGAGCAGAGCAAAGGAGGACAAGGATCCCCTTCCTTTAACAGGCAGCAACGTCATGAAGCAAGCACTGGGAAAGGGAAACCATGGTCAAGAGGAGGGAGTGGGGGGTCCCAGAGAGGTGGGGTGATGCTGTGGGAGCACAAAGAAGGGGCCCTAACTGGTAAGTCACAGAAGTTTTCAGGAAAGAAATGAGACCTATTCTGAGATGTGAAGAATAACTGGGAGTTGACCACAAGGCAAGGAGAAAGGGTTTCCCAGCCAGGGGTAACAGCACAGGCAAAGGCCTTGAAGTAAGTGATTCCCTGTGGCCCAAGAAGGCTGATTGGCCCTTCAGCCAGCAAAGCACCTTGAAGGATCCAGAACCTCAGTGTGGTGGACATCAGACTGAGGCTCATCAGACTGAGCAGGACCAATTTACAGAGACCACGCTCATGGGAGCCCAATATTCACATAAAAACAAGAACATTTTTCTTTAATGCAGTGATTCCTAACCTTCCTCTTTTCTGGAATCACATTCCTACTAGAAATAACAAAAGCTATGGACCTGTTTGCCTGAAAAATGCACCACCACCAGCCCCCACACACACATTTTGCTGAGTCTTCAGGGACTGACGATCCCTCCAAAGACCCAGGTCAAGAAACCTTCCTCTATAATAAAAAAGAAACTGCCAGAATGCCTGTGCTGCTAGTGAGAGCATCCTCTCACTATAGGGAAATTTATTCAGTCACTCAGTGATAATCAAAGCTGCCTCGTGAGGCTGGAATAAGAGCAAAGGGAATCAACTGATCCTGTGGCTAAAATTCTGGAGCCTATATGCCCCCAACCCTCCGAGTGCCACTGGAGGAACATGGCACATGCTCACACCCCTCTGCTGGCTTCCCTTTCTCATTAATGCATGTACTGCTCTGCACAACATGGGTTCTGCCCATGAACCTTCTTGCCCAAGTAAGTCCAGCAGATGCTGGGTTACAGTGAGTTAAGGAGTTGCTAACCTAGACTGTTTACTGCAGGGCTTCTGAGGGCCTATACTATGCTAAGATACCTTGTACTTTTCCTGCGTGTCACTTACTTCAATGCAATTACTCATTTCTTTAATTGTTTGGGTAACATCTGTCTCCCCACTAGACTGTAAGAGCCATATGGAAGGGTTTGCGTCTTATCTCTACTTGTAGTAAGGGTCCAATCAGAAAAATGGAAAGAATTTGCTATGAGGAAATTGGTTAAATGGCTACTGGAGAACTGAAACAAACTAAAGGAGGACATTCACATTTAACAGAGAAAGTATCTACAGGAAGCAGCCGCCACCTCAAGGACTGGGGACAATTGCAAAAGACTGGGCTGTGAGAACCTACAAGGTTGATGAAGGGACCCCAAGGAACTGCAACCCAGATCCCTCAGAAGAGGGCACTGCCAGGCTGGGCTGGCTCCTTGGCAGCTTAGAGAAGGGACCCTACAGAGCTGGCACCCAGACCTTGAGGAGGAAGCAAAGCCCAGCAGAACCTCTGACAAAAGCAATGAAGCTGATTCTATAGTGTGGAAAAAACCTAGCAACTGTAAGTGCAATACCATTGCTGAGAAAACCCAGGCATGGACAACAAGGAAAACATAAAGGGGTATCCTCCGTTTGCCTTCCAAACCTTCAACAGGAAGCCCACTGGCAAAACAGGAATTCAGATCTTTCCAGTCCCAGCATTGCAAAGCAGAGAGCAGAGGGTCCATTTGGGGCTGAGAATCAGTAACTTCTAACAGCTCAGTGCCACACATACTCTTTTACAAACATTAAACCTTCTATACAACAATGATAACAAATGTATGAAGTTGCAACTCTCTTTCATATTAATACAATGATGCTTTCACCTTCTCTCCCCAAAGGGGCAGAGGAGACCCCAACAGACTTTGTATCCATCTTTGAGGTTGTCCCTTGACAGTCCTGCCTCAATGTTCTCTAACCTGAAGGCCCTGCCAATAATCCTTCTATAAAATCATAAGGGGGAAAGAAGAAACAAAAGAAAAGAAATTCATTAATAAAAACAAGCGTGCATATAGATAAGTAAACAGAAAGATGGTATAGATAAAGGTATATATATATACTCATACTATATATATATATACAGTATATATAGTATATATATAGATTCAGGTATATATATATACTCATACAATATATATACAGTATATATACATATATGTACTCATACAAGCAAGGGGAAAAAGCCTTCCCTTTGTGTGACTAGTCAGGAGCCGTTACTTTACAAATATTTACAAATCCCTTCTTGTATTATCCATTCCACATTTCATTTGCCTTCAGCCTGCCCTTCATTTGGTCTAGTTTTTACCTGATAGGGGTCACCCAAATCTTCATTCTTGAAGAGTCTGAATCCTTACTGATCCTGGTGTATTTTGGTTATTCAGTTGATTGGCTTACTTTTTTTTTGTTAACTTTTACTATCGGTGATGGAAGAATGAAAAGGTGCCCTGGAGAACCCCTGGGTTCCATACAACAGCCCCTTCCCACTTGTATGGCAGAGACCCAGTGTCACCTAGCCATCAAGAACAATCACTGCAGCCAGTACAGTGTTCCTCTTTTATGCTGGTTGTTTCTGTGATGTAAGGAACCAAAATGGCTGGGTGGCTGTTTCAACTTCCAGTTCAATGGAGCCCTCATTGTATCACTTGATGGGACCATTCCTCCTCAAGAACTAAGACCTTTGAACCAATAAAATTCAAAGTTGCAGGACATAAAGCAAAAACTGCTCAAAACATGGCACATTGCTGTGCCAGCACCAAGCATAGGCACGGGCACATAGTAGATGCTCATTAAGTATGTTTGAAATGACTAAATTAAGGAATGAATGCGTGCTGGAATCTCTACTACAGAGATAGATTTACATCATTTCCCAAACGTATCTGACCACAAAATTAGCTGGGAAGTGGGGCCGCAGGGAGCATTTTATTTAACTGGGGTTCTATAGACTATACTTTGGGGAATTCTCTTTTAGCATAATCTTTATTCAATTGTGGTATGATGCAACTGATTCATTTTCAGCATTTTAGGTTTGAATTATATTCTGGTCCTGCCTCACTGAGATGACATCCTGGTCCTATGGAGATTCACAGTCTACTGGGAGAGACAGACACAGAAACATACAATTAGAATATAATGTGATATAATGTGGTGGAGGCAAGCCCTGGAAGATGAGGAGGGTTGAGGAGGTGGTGTGTTCACTTGGCTGGGAGGAAGGGTGTTAACTGGGAGCAACAAAAAGGCCACAAACATGATGAATCATAAAGAATGAATAGGGATTTCATGAATAAGAATGTGGGGGAAGAGCTTCCAGGCAGAAGGAACAGCATGTGCAAAGAAACAGGCATGAAGAAGCACGGTGTGACTGAGGAAGCCAAAAGGGTGGTTCCCAAAATTCTGTGGGCAGAAGAAGCCAGACTTAGTGATAAACTTAAATGTGCATCACAGGAAGGGAAAGCCATTTTTGGAAGCTTGGAGAGGATGGATACTGATGACTGGTTAACAAATATTTATTGCATACTTGCTATAGGTCTGGCTTTATGGTAAGCTTAGAAATGCTAACCAGGAAGACACTGACTGTAACGCGGATCCTACAGCAATACAGAGTAGCTGCCAGAGAACTGAGTAGGAATATCTACTGGAGGTCAGCGGGCTGGGGAGGTTTCCTGGACGAATGCAGCAGGGTTGGGAACAGCGTTAAAGGCAGAGGGAACAGTATATGCAAAGCGATTAGGGTTGAGAGAGGACATTTCACATCTAGGGAGCTACAAGTAGTTCAGAAGCATGAAATGACAATATATGAGAAGAAGCCCAAGAGCTGGTAGGGGTGAGGGGAGTAGCAAAGACTATGGGTGTCTTCTCACCATGAGGCAGTGAGGAGCAAGGATGGGTTTTAGGCAGGTAGCACAGTAACTGGTTTATCCTTTAGAAAGACTTCTCCAGTTATATAGAGAGAAAAGGCCAAAGGGAGTAAGATTAGATAGGAAATCCTTTAGGTAAAGTGGTGGGAGAGGGGCACCTGGAGGCCATGGACCCAAGTGGGGGATGGGTGTCATGGGTTCCAAGCCCTAGCCCCAGTTTTCTGCTGGCTTTCCCTGCACCAAAGCCTTCCCTTGCTGGGCCCCTTTCTCTTTATCTGTAAAATGAGACTGTGGGCTGGATAATTTCTAGGGTCCTCCTAACCTTAAGTAAGAGTCTGTGATGGAAGAGAAAGGTAGCCAAGGAGTATTTTGGTCCTGATATTATAGGACAGATCAAGTTTGGAGTGTCCTGGAAACCACTAAAAGGAAGTCTCTGTGGCTACCTAGTCATTACCCCTGACTCACCCTACCCTGAGAGGGACTGATTCAGGCTTCTGTCCATCTTCTGATTTCCCCAAGGCCCTTTCTCCCCACATTCCAATCTGCTGCCATAAACAGTGCTTCCTGTTGGCACTCTAAAGCCACCAGCTGCTGGTCCTGCCGGCCTGAGGTGGGTGATCAAGGCCATCCCAGGGTAAACACAGTAGTCTTAGCCACTGCTGTTGCAGGAAGCACATGCCACGTGGGTGTGTCAGAGCCAGCGATGCTTATTTTATAGGAGGTCATAGGCTGGATACCAGAAGAGTCGCCTCTGGGTGATCTCTGGGCTTCTCTGCATGGCATTGCCTCCTTCTCCATTTCC